GAACTCCAAAGGTGATAGTTCTAGTTTATTTGAATATTGGGCAATGCGCGATGTTACAAAAGGTTGATTTTGGCACAGGTTCGTTTGCTGAATGCTTATTACAATATCCTCTGACGAAGTCTTATACATTTGTCATGGTAAATGCTCTTTTTATATAATAAACAAGATGCTTTTCTGCGTATTTACTTTGATATAAATGATTGAAATTAATATTTGTTTTCTTTGTTTTTAAAAGTATTTTTTACATTTCGATTTAAGTATTGTTTTCGTGACTATTAGTAAATCAGTAATATGAGATGTATTCACCCTATTTCGTTTAAGGTGTAAAGGACTGGTAGAAGAAGGATTTTCCCACAATATGAGTTGAGCTGACGCTTCCATTGAATTTCACATAGCCTTGCTTTCCCAAACGTTGTTTTCTCCCAGAGTGGACTGTAGTTTCGACCTCACATCGGTCTTATCAACACCCTCAGCGGGAGTCGAACCGCGACAATGCAGGATGGGGGCTTGGCACGCTAACCACTCGGCTGCACTGCCACGAGCGCCTTTTGGGTCACATGGCAAATGTGAATTTTCAAGGAAGGCCAGGCCTTTTTGCCATATATTCTTTTGGTAGAATTGTCGATGAAGCAAACGTATATCTGCTATAACAATCGACTACTATACTTTATTTTTCGATTTAAGTATTGTTTTCGTGACTATCAGTAAATCAGCTTAACTTATATCATCATAAATTCTTCTTCTACCAATCCTTCATCACCTTAAACGAAATTGGGTGAATACATCTCATATTACTGATTTATTGGTAATCACGAAAACAATACTTAAATGGAAAAATAAAGTATAGTAGTCGATTGTTATAGCAGATATACGTTTGCTTCACCGACAATTCCACCAAAAGAATATGATGTGACAAAAAGGCCTGACCTTCCTTGAAAATGCACATTTGCCTTGTGACCCAAAAGGCGCTCGTGGCAGTGTAGCCGAGTGGTTAACGTGTCAAGCTCCCATCCTGCACTGTCGCGGTTCGACTCCCGTTGAGA